AAAAAAAAAAAAAAAATCAGGGTAAATAATGCTAAAGCGCGTGCTCGAGGAGAGTGGACAAGGTAGATGGCTAATGCGTTGAAATAACACTTATTCCTCAACGAACGGGAACACGTATTGAGAGTGGTCATGATGGCACAGTTCAACCGCTGCTGGAAGGAGTAAACGAATGCAAAAAAGAAAATTGCATCTTCATCTAGCATTTCTAAAAGAGCGTTTCAATAATTTACATATATAGAAAGTTTTTGGTTTTTAAAATTTTACTAAGGAAAGATAAGAGAGTAGATTTGTTATTAAAAAACTAACAAATTTTGGAAGAGTTACTAATCTTTCGTCGCATGACTGCTCAACACGGACAATCCCGTGTTAGTGGAGGCAAAAAAACCCAATTGAGAACGACATTCGACCTTCCTTTGTTTAACCCCGTACTCCTGGATTATGATTTTTTCTTCCTTCCTCATTTTAGAAAGTTATTGCCAGCCTACTGAGGGAATAATTGCAAGTCTTGCTATAATGCCAGAATATTACGGATTGACTGTTTAAATGATGGGATTGTTGGTTCTTTGATGGATTTTGAGTAACAATTAAACAATTAAAATCGAATTTTACCACTGAAATCTCTAATTATCCAAAGTCACCAATATAAACGTTAGCATCATGCTTTTGGAACAGCAAAAGACTCTCATATTCAATTACTGTTAGCAACCGAAAAAATGATAGCAAGTATTGGTACTTACTGCTCTGATCGGTACGTGCCTATCCGACTTGAATCTCAAATAAATTTACATTTACACCCCTTTCAGACTATGACCACGTTACTCATAAAAATTGATGAACTTTTTATTTAAACAATGAAGAAGTTTTGTACTTCCAAACAAAAAGTCAATTACTACTTTCAAATAAATCAATTAAAACTCTTCAAAATTAAAAGTAAAGAAGTGATATCAAAGCAGCGTAATCCCCTGCCTACTGTGTGTTGTACAGCATCAGCAGATTTATCTAACATGTCTCCTTTGTTCACTAAGCATCATTCTTGTTTAACAACTTCAGCTCTCACAAGCTATACCGCCAATCTGATAGTGATAATTATTTAAAAGTTCGCTCCAGTGCAACAAGTAACAAAGGCAGCTTGTGTAGCGCGGTTGAAATTTTATCAAAATATTCAAAATGTACTTCTTCAGCAAAGCTCAGCGATACCGATGAAAGCTCTAACTCGTAAACAGTATAGTTTTCAGTCTCACAGGAATTACTCCCCAAAAGTTACTTAACCCACCTCTGCTCTAAGAAATTAGGCCACCCTTCAGTAAAAAACCTTCGTGAGTCATAACCAGCCACTAAGAATCACTACATCAAGTAATTAAAACTTGTCCAAAATTTTTTAACCCCTCTATATCGATTACACGCAACAGTAAAATACTTTTCAGAACAGGTTGGTTCCCATCACGATTTGTGAAGTTGTTGCCTGATGTACCCGAATCAACTAAATGACCAAAGAGATGCCGACTGGCCCTCGCCTCGCTCGATATCCATTAATTCTTGCGAAGATTAATTCATTCAAAGAAACTTTTAATTAATAATGTCCCTCACTTGAAAATTAAGACTACGAATAAATGATACAACTAAGGTATAGACTAAACTCCTAAAGTTCTTGCGCCCCTCGAATTCCAACCGCACCTCTTCTAGTCACCAACTGAACTACATTCTCCAAAAAAACCTACAACAAAAACTGACCAATTGTAAAAAATAGGAGCAAAAATGAATATTCTTTCGAACATCAAAAATGACAAAATAAAAACCTTTAGGCTTTCTCCACTGGGCACAGAGATTACACAATTACTTACTGAGAGCAGCACAACAAGTTCAACTTTTAACAACCTTAAACAGCAAATAAGCCTCTACCAAACCCTCTCGACTCGCCCCTTTCTCACTCCCATTACTGTTTATAAATGCGCCACTCAAACCAATACAAGTAAAATAAATCTATAGTACCAAAAGCTTCCCCAGTATTAAAAATCAGAGCTTTTTCGAGTTGGCGTTTATAAATGAAGTCAATAAACGGGTGAAAAATTTATTTTAAACAACTGGTAACAATTTATCAGTATTTTGCACAAACAGAGTTAAAACATTATGTACAATAAACGAAATTAATTCCATGAATTAGCAACTGTAGTTCCTCTGAATTTCGAAAAAAAAAAAACCTGGAGACGTTTCCAAGATGACAAGTAGGCTTATATAATCCACAGGAAAAAAAAATGAAACACAAAGAAGCGAACTAAATACAGGACCTGCTTACATCAAACCAAGCCACAAAAAATCAAGTACTCAAGCTAAGAATTATAGTAATACAAGGGATGGAAATATACACGGCAGTAGTAATGTCATTCCACATCGTAACCAGTACCTTTTCATAATAATTAATACAACAAGCAAGAATGGGCGCATCAAATTTAGAAGTAAAATGAGTCGCACTTCTCATAACCAATAAAAAATCCGAAACTTAAGGAATTTTGAAGAAAAAAAAAATTAAAGACTGGAATTTAAAATATAATTTTATTACACGAATTTTGCAGACTAGAAACGTCTAATGTAAAGACAAAACGCCACAGTGACCCTCTAAAAAAATTCATGCATAAAGTGAAAGAAATCAAAAGGAAATACAACAGTCCAAAAGGAATAAGAAAGCTCATGAAAAATTTATGACGATAGCAACTGTAAATGGAAATTACAGGCTCAACGACTCTGTAGAGAAGATGACTTAGAAAACTTTGTTAAGTGAGCAACGACTAAAAATATGAAACAAAAAACTTAAACAATGATCTCTGTCAATAGAACAGCTGAAACCTTATACTATGCAAAATAACAGTATTGAAAAATACCGCACCCTTAAAGGCTGGTGACAACAAAAAGTGACTAAAGGTAGGGACCTACGACAAAAAAAGATAATGACGACATAGCAAAAAACAATATTTGGAAATGCGTTACACCAAATTTTAGACTTTTTTACCTGAGTGTAAATTGGGAGGTCACTTTGATACCTACAAACGAAACAAAATTTATGCTTTCGAAAGTATAAAAGACAAAATGAAATATAGCTTGCAATGTAACAAAAATCATTTCTTCAAAATAAATTTAATTTGAAGTGGTAACAATGTTACAAAGGCTTCACACTTTTTTCAACAAACCTCTCACTTCAAGTGTGAGCATACTCATACAATAAGCTATAGGTAAAATGTAGCTTCGTTATCAGTCACTGCAAGCTCTTTTAATTGTTTCATAATTTTCAACACAAGATTTTAACATCAACTATTAATCAAAAGATAACTTGACCTGGAGAAGTCACTACAGAACATCGTACTGTGTTCCAGAAAGGCTAAAAAAAAAAGCAACAGCAACACTAGAAGAACCGTAATTCCTTTCACTATTTGCAAATCATTTGCAATAAAATCGCCTAACTGAAGTGCGTCTTCAGCTTAAAAAGCGTCTGCTTAACTGTACTGTGAACTCTCAGACTTTTTAGTTAGAGCAAAAAAAATTTGGCAAGCCGAAAACTTCAAGTCTAAAACTAAAAAACCCCAAATATTTGAAACAACAACTGAATTCATGTGAAAGCGTTATATAATCAATTTAAAAAAAAAGGCAATAAAAAAAGAAAAGAATTAATACTTAGTTACATTGAATCACAAAAAGGTATATCGTGTTCATCCACCAGGAAGCTAGATGTAAAATTTAAAAATTTTCTAACAATACAAAAGCGTATGACTAATATTAAAACATGAACAAAAACAAAGCCTCAAGTATCAACGCACCCAAATTGCGTACCGACCACTTCTAGGGGGTTCATGAGCTGGTAGTGGTTCGTCCTCCAACTCATCCCAATGTGCTTTCTGCATATTATCAATAGCGAGCGCCCACCGATCAGCTTCCAAATTCGGGTCCGATAAATAATATGTACGATGAGGCTAAAAGTGACAAAATTTACTGAACAGCCGTAGAACAAAGAAAAAAAAACCAATTTTAAAGGAAAGAACAAAGCTGAACTCATCAGTGTACAAAAAATATGATGTTAACGCAGAGGATAATCGACGCTTTTGGGAAACCCTTAGGAGAGTTGTACTAAAGAGATACCAAAACTAAAGTCAATGAAACTACCTACCGTGTGAATAAAAAATAAACCAAAATTAATGATCTCCGTTTTCATCTGTCTAGTGAATGGAACCTTTCCTTTTAATACTAAATGGTCTGGCTCGACATACCACAAATCTGGCCCATCAGTTAGTAAAAACATGCGTGTTCGGGAAAAAAGACCCTTAAAAAAACTCATGACAGCGGATATGCTATTTTCAAATTACCAGGGTATTATCAATTTAAACGAATCAGTGGTAATTATAATATAGCATAGAATTTATCTCTTTAATTTCTTTACTAGAATAATAAAAACCTTCTTCTTTTCTAGGATGCCTTGTTTTACAATTAGTTTTCCGCTAACGAACCGATGGTAGCGATTTTTTTTACACTGTTCTGATATAAGAAAGTCTCGCTCTTTATCAATGTTATTTGTTATGGCCGTTATAGCTGACTTGCCTTCGCTGACACTAAAACTTTGCTGTCAAAAAAAAAAGACAGTTAATCATAAAAACACATTTTGATCCTTCATTAGCATACAAAACAATTATCCTATTCATTCTTCATAACTAAATAGGTACAATTAAATGCAATATTCTTAAAACAAAATTTTTCTACTAGAGTATGTACCAGCGCTCAACTAAAACTACCTTGCAAATCTGTGGAAGTGAGTATCAATTCCCATTAGGCGAGATTCTTCAGCAGCGTCCAGTCCAGGCTTGGCATCTGACGGAACTACCAACTCTCCTGGCACATCCCGTGGCCTCTTTATAGAAGGAGGTGGGATATTTTTTAATATATTGTTCCAGTCGACTCCAGAAAAAAACTGATGTTCCATTATTTCACGTACGCCATTAGCACCTAGTCGTGTTTTTGGATTTGGAATCTTGAATATAATTAGGTAATGTTAATAGTAACTTATTTATGAAATCTGTAGAATCAGGAAATATTACCAAGAGCCTTTTAACCAAATCTTTTGCGACTGGCGGAAACAATGGTGGAATAGTATATTCCAGCTGGCGGATTTTCTCAATGCATTGTAAAGCATTTAGAGCAGCGAACGGTGACCGCGAAGTCAGCATTTCGTACATAATACATCCAAATGCCCAATAATCGCATCTAAATTAGTCACATATCAACGTTCTCCCAAGAATTTTATACTTTCGAGCTTCAAAAAAGATTACTGACATTGAATTCACTATAATAAAGTAAGTGAAATAGCACTGCTAATTCAGTGATGAAAAAACTTTGAGCATGTTTCATTCCTACAATATACAGCAAAATATTTACGTGAAAGAGACTTCCTGACGATCCAAAACTTCTGGAGAGATGTATAATGCTGTGCCCACAAATGTAGAACGCTTTAGCCGTCTTCCTTTTAGATCCTCGCCATCATCTTCTTCATCTTCTGAATACAGCGGAAGAGCTCCGTATTCTGAAAAAACTGTGCTCAACATCATAATCCCTATTTGCATAAAATAAAAACCAAAAAAAAAAAATTTTTTTTGCACTGCACACTCACAGTCCCTGATGCTAGAAAATCCTCTAGTTTAAGAGTTTACTACACGTCTTTGAAAATCTAAAGAAAATGAATAAATTAATAAATAAATGGAAGACCACTTGAATACAACGGAAAGATAGTCTGCCAAACCATTTTGTGGATCGACATCCTTCGCACTCGAAAAATCGGAAATTAAAATGTGATAATCGCCTTTCACAAGTATATTCTGAGGTTTCAAGTCCCTGTGAATGACTAAACACCTATGTAACCACTCCAATCCAGACAAGATCTCCGAAGTGAAAAAGAGCGTCGCCTAAAATGAAAGAAATAGTTGGTCAAAAAATAATATTTACTGCTAGACGATTAATATCAACTTTGATAAGATTACTTCAACATTAAACCGTCGATTTTCCTTCAGCAATGACGAAAGGTTACCCATACTGGCGTATTCAAGGGCAAACACTAAAATCATACGTTTGATTAATAAATCATTAATATTCTCTTCTAAAAAAAATGCAAAATTGCAAAGATATTAATATGAAACACATTAAACCTTACAGTAATAATTCCTTGTCGCAAAAGTATAATATATATGCATAACCATTGGATGTCCGCCCTTCAAGTAAGTCAAGTTGTACAAGATGTCACGTTCTCGACATATAAGAGGAAGCTGGAAAAAAAATCAGCTTGAAATCAAACACCTGATATTCATAGATAAAAACCAAGTCCCATATTTGGAAAACTGATTAAGATGAACAAACTACCAGTACCTATTGAGATTAGAAGAAAACGCTAAAGTGAAGATGACCAATTATGACTCACCTTAAGTACTCAGAACTAAGCAAAAATATGTTAAAAGCTAAACTTACAAGATCACGTTTTGAAACCTCACGTCGTGAAACAACTTTCATTGCTAGGTACTTCCCGCTTGTGACTTCCTTTGCTACAGCAACCTAAAACAACAATTACCAGATGTAATGACTTTAAAACCCCACACTACGAAAAGAAAAGATTGAAAATAGGACGACTAAACAACCATACGTATCCCATCGCTCCTTCTCCCAGAACTCGTAGGAAATAAAATTCTTCTAATTTTGGCCTTGGAATTTGAATATTTTTTTCAACAAAGTACTCTTGAAGTCTTTTCATTACTGGCTTCCGCTCAAGCTGCAAAAAAAAAGGTAGACGAAATGATAAAAGTATTCGTAACAACCCTGTTTCATGAATATTAGAACCCATCTAGATATTGCAAAATAAAACTGCTTCCAGCAATTTTTCAAATTAACCTGAAAAGATATACTCAAGGGTGCAGGTTTATCAATCAAACCATTTTGTGACTTAAGAGAAAGATCTTTGTCAGTTACTGCTGGAGACGACACATCATGCGCTTTTTGCGACCCCTCTAAACTGCCCCCATCAGCCAGTGATTCTTCTTCCAAAATGTCGGATTCGCAGGTCCTAATTTCCCCCTCAGGTTCTCCATGACAAACTGAATCAACATATTCACCGGAGGAGCTTTCACTGACACCGTTCACTGAACTTGGAATGTTCTCTACAAGAAAAAAAAAACAAACAAATTTTGATTTAAACGTTCTGTTAAAATAGAAAAAAACTACAGTAAAAATGGCCGAGCAACTGTTAACGACACTGATAACTATGTGTCTGTTTAAGCAGTGCCAAAGTCTTCTCTCAAAACTTAGGCTCCGTGGAACAGTTATTCTCTACTTTGTATTTTCCAACTAAAAAAATGTACTGTACACTGAAAGTGGAGAAAGCAAAATATGAAGTTTTAAACGATTTCAAAAGTGAAAGCGAAGTGATAATAAGAATCTAGCAACAGATGACGTTCAGGGAAAAGAAGTGGAGAAAGTTCAGCCTTTAAACGGTTAAGCATTCAATAAAATGAAACAGACCGTCATCATCATCCAGGTGGAAATCCTCCTCCTCAGCCAATGGTACGATATTTTCAGACATTCCACAATTTCCAACCCAGTTTCATAATGCAGGAAAGTTAGCTGAACTACTATACTTTTAAAAGAACGCTACTGAGACCTG